GGGGGGGGGGGAGGGGGCTTAATATAGGATTCACGGTAGTCGTAATCAAACTCTCAAGGTCGGTCTTGCTGATTAGTCGCAGTGCGTTGTCAGCTCATGTCAGCTGGCCACCAAAAAAGCCCCCTCTGTTTTTGACCCATAAAGCTGCACCTCACTCGTGAGTCTCCTATGGTCAGTATAGGCTATCGGCAGTTTTTGCAGCCACATTTAAGCGGAAAGTTTCGTATACAATATTCTCTCAATCAATGTCTTTTGATATGTTTGCTGATTGGACCTTATGAGGTAATCTTCGGACATTATTGGTTAACAGTGAGAAAAAGAAACTAAAATGTGTAGGTGAAACAACGCAAACAAATACAGAAAACTAACTGACTGACCAAATAAAGCCGTGTGCAGTAATGATAATATAGTTATGCGAAATGTTATTCACAATTATGTTACTGAAGATTGTAAAACCTGTTTCTGCAGCATAATTATTCCCATGATCAATAACTTTAAATCCGAAAATTATCAGTATCATCTACATGTTCCAACGCATTAAAAAATTCTTCTTCTGAGTCTTCTCCTTCGTGTTCTATGGATACATAGGTTGCGATAGAACTGACTCTTTCGAAGGTTGAATAAGAAGCTAAAGAATCTTCTCGACCTGCAATTGGCCTTTTACCAAGATTTGACCAAAGTATAAAAAAGTGCAGAAACACGTGAATCAAGAATCCGAGATACATGGGCGGCCCAACCTCAAGAAGAATCTTCAAACTTTCCTCTTTGATTTCACAACTGAAAAGGAGATATAAAAAAAAGTAACGTGCACTGAAACTAAGAGATTATTAGTGTAGTAAGACCTTTTTCGGCCAAATCGTCTCACTTAAGCCTAGGCTAAACGTTGTGCTTTTCATGGACGAGACTAGTAACCACCCTCTAATCTGGGACTACTTCAATTTAAAAGTTAAGATCGTCTGTTGGGTCAGACGTCGAGCTTAGGACTTTTTCTCCACAACGAGGCTGAAAACATTTTTCTTGCCCCCCAGAAAGTGCAAACCCAGTTTCCAGGCCGGCTATCTTTGCTTTTGTGGCCAGCCCAGAACCATCATGTTTAATATCTTCACTTCCCAGAGCTTGTCGTTATTTTGATGACGTGGTCAAATTTAATAAGCCAAGTGGCACTGGGGACGAGAGCTTCATGTTTACAAAGAGACTGGAAGCAGTGCGCAAGAGCATTAAACTTTCACCTACCGAAGTGTGTTATCGAGAGGTCCCCTATACTGGTCAAGTAGAGTTTCTACAAACACTGAAAATATTCCTAACATGATGACAGGGACGAGCAAATGATTCCATGCCATGTTTAGATTCTGAAATGGCAATGATCGTGCATTTACTCTCATAAACACGCATATCAGAAATGCTCCAGTAAGCCCACGTATGAGAAATTTCGCCGAATCCCAGCCCATTAATGACTGGTCGTCTATGTCGTCTCTGTAAGGAGCCGTCTGCGCCCAGTAGCCGGCAATAGCTGCTTCTACTAACCAGCAAGTGAAGCCAACAGCACCCATGCAGCAAACCTATAAATTAAAAGTAGTGGTCACATGAAATCATTTACAGGGTCTGGGTTTGACCAAAATGCACATTGCGGAATTCGCCAAAATTTGGGCAACGGATGCGGAAAAGAAAATGATGTTCGGGATCTTGTTTGGATGCGGGATTCTCGTGTAAAAGGAGCGGGAATGTTGGATCTGGACCCCCTTTACAGATTCTATGTTTATATCATGACAAATGTACAAAATAATTCAAGGCTTGCCATGCAACGATGTGTCAGCTTATCAGTCAGCTCTTTTGGAATTAAGGGGACAGTCTGTTTAAAAACATTATTTTTCGTTGATTTCCACCCTTTTCCTTAAATATCTAGATTTCATTCAATCAAAAAATGGCTCCACTTAGTTGCAGCCCTTAATTCAATATTTTTTTTTTGAGAACTTGATGAAAAATTGGAAAAATTAGAAAACATTGCATTTGGGGGTTGTTAAGAATTTAAAAGATGAAGTAAATACTAGTAGACAATTACCAGGTCCGTCACCACAACAAGGTGCCTCTGATCCCATTAGCGGACTAACTGGTTTATTAGCCTGCGTAGCAAGCGTTTCTGTGCGGTTTAGGAGAAAAGAACGAGGAACGAGAGTCAAAGACCGCGCGAAAAATGGCGCCTCCCTTCTCTTTCACATTTTGGCTCTCGTTTCATTTCTCGCGCGGTCAAAACCGAAAGTCCGCTTCCTCGGTTTTTCTTTGCTCCGAAACCAAACGGAAGCGCTTGCTACGCAGGCTACTGGTTTATGTGTATACCTTTTCTACCCTAATTTATTTCCTTCCCAAATCAACACCGTTTCCCCCAAAAAATAACAGAATGAAATGTGAGTCATGCGTTGTGATCTCAATTGAGCAGCCCTATGAAGAGTGTAATCCTTCACCCCCAGAGAGAATTATGGAATCTTGAAAGATGGTTTAGCCTCTTGACTCTGTGGATGAAATCCTGTTTCGTGTTACCATTCAAATGTCAGACCTCTTTGGAAATAAAGTACTGTCCCATGGTACTAATTTAAGCAGCTTTAAATAAAATTGATAACACGGGAAATATTGTTGAATTTTGACTCCCATAGCAAATAATGGAATCATATAAGGTGGTTCTTAATTGATTTGAAGACTGCAGAGTGATAAGAGAACATTTTTTTTTCTGAGGGGAGGGGGGAGGCAGTTCACAGATGTATTACCCTAGTAAAATAATTTACTAGGGTAAAAAGCACCACAGTGGAATAAGCGTTCCTTTTTTGGCATTGAAGTAAAAGTGCGTCTATATATAAAGCTCCATCGAATGGTCTCTCTGTGTTAGTCCGTCTTGTTCTTGCAATGTAATTAGCGAAATATGCTCGACTCATATACTCTATGTAAAAGACTAAATCGGTCAAAAAATGCCGTATAAAACAATCAGATCAAATCCACTTGAAAATATCTTACAAACGAATCCGAAAAAAATAGAACTTACCATGATTTTGACTCCCATTGATTCAGAAATCTCGCCGTCTTCTAAATCATTGCTGTAAAGGAAATATGCAGCGAGAACAAATATTGCCGTATTGACAATAATGGCGAATACCTGGACGAATGCGCCGATGTTAAGGCTGTGAATGAAATAAAGACCACAGAGGACAGGTGCGGTAATACACAAACAACCAGCGAAGAACCCCGCATACATCTTAAGTTGATCCCTTGAAGCCATACAATTAACGAATCGGTCTTCATTTTCTGGGACCTCAGGAAGCTGATTTACATCTGGAATTTCTGCAGAATGCTCCAGAAAAAGGAAACAACATAGCAAACGGTAATCTATTATCAACGCCTTGTAACCAACTACAAAAACATTAAACCATCCATCGAGTTCATCAATGATAGGTCCACTCAGGGCAACATCCATTTCCACGTTCACCTGAGCATCTATCCACTCTATAAAGTTGAAGAAGGACATAATTCTAAAGTAAAATTCAGCATTCCCTTTGAATTCTTGCGTACTAAGACAAGTGGTCCGCAAGTAGAGGTATATGGCAAGCTGAAAAGGCTTTTGAAGGAAGAAAGCTGACTTGTCTATAATAATCAAGATCCAAGTGATTGTTTTCTCTGAGGGATCTACGGTTATCGCCTTCTTAGCGCCTTTCGTGCACGCAAATGCTAAAAGCACGGCTTCGAGTAGAAATATAAGAAATGTCACCACACCAACAACGCACCCCATTGCAGGCTGTTGTTGACCCAAAGTTTGTCGATTTTCTCCTTCGTCTGGCAGAGAGAAGAAAAGAGAAGCACCAAACAATGTGTAAGCTATTCCGACAAACACAAAGGCAGATAAACGGAAGTATAGCTTGACCTCTAGGTTGTCGGAGTTGGAGAAGACATTCACGGAAGCGATCAATGCACTAATGAAGAAAACAAAAAACGTTCCTCGAGAAGAGCACAGTCTGGCACAAGAAGTTGACCAAACACCGAGTACGCTAAGCATGCACAATGCTAAGTAAAAGATCCCTGCTCCCGAAGCGACAATCACTTCAGATGCGGTTCTTGTTGTATTTAGATCATGCGGCGTTGTTGGCTTGCAGGGCATTAAGTTCTCAGAAGCCACATCTAGGCCTTCACTTCCCAAAACGTCCGTTAGATTAACTTTCATAGCCAGGATTCTTTGTTGAATACCAACTTAGGATTGCTTGCTGCAAAACAGACAATCTAGATTAGACTAATGACCTGAGATACTTAAAATGCAATAGGGATTGTGTTCGTCTTTCTCGGAAAACCAACGTCAAACAAGTATACGTCAAATGCTGAATTCAATTACCTAGATAGATTTCATCACGCAGTAGCTCTCTGCTCGTTTTAGTCACTTGCCGAAGATACTCGATATAGAAACAGAACTGTTGAGTTGTCAACAGTTAGGTAATGCACCAATGAGTTAGCCCTCCGAAGTTCCAAGTTGGAGTGTTAGCTTTGACTTCCTCCTTGGAAGCAAAGCACAATTTTTAGTTGCAGATCCAAGAATTCTTCTTATGGGTCTCTTATAGTTGACCCCTCGAGTATTTCCAGGCTTATGACCAGAAATGGCACCAGACATTAGAATCGGCACTCTTAACTTCCTTATACGCGAACTTTTGCTGACGGCAATGTTTACATTTTTTGCGTCGATGTAAATGCAAATTAAGGTCCAAAGTTGAAAGAGGGTCAAGGTTGCTTGAGTAATTTGTGTTGTTTTAAGCTCTTTGGAAAAAAAAATCCGATGGAATACTGCCGCCATCAGAACTGCAAAATTGCTGAGTGTCAAAAATAGCCAAGAGCATTATACATTCTTTGAGAAATTTTCTTTCTTTTTTTTAATAATTTAATTCTCCAAAATTTTTTGGAATATCGGCCTCTAATTTTCAGAGATCACTATCACTATGCTCTTTTTAATATTTTCCACATTTTGCAAGGTAATTGAACTCTCGTTATTCTCTCAATCAAATCCTTTTGATGCGTTCTCAAGCGCTGGAGTCAACCGTTACTTAATATAGATTGCCTAATTTTTAAGCCACTGCGGCTTCCGCTTCCCAGTGATCCTCTCATAGCTAAAGACATAACTGCGGTATCTTACGTACCCAACTCATCTCTGTTTGTTTGTTTTTTTCTTTTTTTCTGAAAGTAAAAGCATTGCACGGGTCTGCTTAGCCTCCGTGTAGAAACGTGTAGATTCAATGTAGCTGCGTGGCATGCGCAGTCAAGATCGTACCGAGGGTTAATACTTTTAAATAATGCCAGTCACTATAGTTTAAATCGGGATACTCGGTTGATTATTTTCGAAATTCTAGGGAACTGATGCGAGGCGAAAAACCCTAATTCATCTTCATTTGGTTAGCTGACATGCATGCATGTTGAAAAAGGTCATGCAGGGGATTTGTTATGCACAGACGACTGGGAGGGTGCCAATGGGGTTAGCAGTTAACTGATATTTGGCCAAATAACAGTAGTTAACTGATCATTGGCCAAAAAATTAGCAGTTAACAAGGAAATGAAAAGTTAGCAGTTAAGTGACATTCTATTAATTATACTGAATAAAATCGTTGATGTTAATGAAAACAACAAAGTTTTGCAAATAGAAATGCTATTTTCTGACCCAATTTTTTGTTCCGAAACATCGCCACCATCACCAATGCCTACAAGTACTCGTATTTTCAAATCAAAATCTGAAGAATAAAAGCGCGGGCCCTGGCTACGAAACCAGTCCGTTTTGTTCTCGTTTAGCCTGTACACAGACGTTGTCATATTTTTCTTTTCGTTCTTTTCGAAAACATCGGCGAGCGTGAAGCGCGAGAAAGAAAAATGTTCTCCTTCCGCACCCCTACCCCTTGCTGTGGCAGTCAATAAATCCCGCGCGGCTTTTGTTTTTTATCATGCGCGCGCGACGGACTTTGAAGAGAAAATAGAGGGTCTGTGAACAGGCTAGTTATCTTTCACTCTGAAATTTTTATCGATTATCATGTTTAATATTTGCAAAACTATTGAAACGTGTATCATTGAATGTATAAACAACAACAACTTTCCAGGCCTGTTAGTTATCAGGACTTTCGAGAAACGGGACCCAGGGTCTCCATGACAACGAAGGCGACAAAGGAGACAATGCACCCTTGGGAATGAGGTTGTCATTGAAGCGCTAGGATGAGGTTTACATGAATAAAGTTACCTGACTCAGCCACATCTCATAACATTTTTGCATTGAAAGGTAGAGCTTGTTACAGGCAATCACAGACATCACATGCATGCAGGCTCAATCTTTCTAATATGAAATGCTGCTATAGCAGCGGCAAAAACTTAAGAAGGACCACAATCTCCTACTATATACCCCAGCACGATGATATAAGCAATGAAAAGAATAAAGGAAAATTGCAATTACTGTAATACATTACATTGGTATACAACGGCAGGGTCACTTAATTTGCAAAGTCATAGTCTGTATTAAGCCACCCGAAGCTTATTTATTTCAAACACATTTGGGTGGGGAGGGGCTTAATAAAGAGGAAGGGCTTATTTAAGATGGGGAGGTTTATTTAGCAAAGGTGATGCTATCAGCTCTCAGTTTCAAGAAGTTGAAGCCGTGCAGCTGAGGATCGAAAACAAATCCGATCCGAACTTCTAGAGGGTAAACAAAACATCCTAGATCAGTCCACACAAAGTTTTTAAACTTACAGTCGTGATTGATTACTACACTCTATCATGACGTCTATCATTTATTAGCGAAGAGTAATTAGTGGAGGGAAGGGGGGCTTTTTAACTTTCTTCCCCTAAATAGGGAGGGCTTATCAGGGGGGCTTAATAGAGCATTCACGGAAGTCGTAATCAAACTCTCAAGGTCGGTCTCACTGATTAGTCTCATTGCGTTGTCAGCTCATGTCAGCTGGCCACCAAAAAAGCTCCCTTAGTTTTTGACCCATAAAGTTGCACCTCACTCGTGAGTAGGCACATTTTTTGCGGAAAGGTTTCTACACCTGAATATTCTCTCAATCAATTTCTTTTGATATGTTTGCTGATTGGACCTTGTGAGGTCATTTTTGGACATTATTGGTTAACAGTGAGAAAAAGATACTAAGATGTGTAGGCCGTGAAAATTCTTCTAATTTCCGTCTCACACGTCCCCTTGTTGTTGGACAGGAGGCGATGGGGCTGCGGCCACTGACTCATGCAGGACTTCTTAGTCTTCTCCTTTGTGTTCTAGTGATACTTGTGAACTGACACATGATGTATAGCGTGAAATAGAAACTGATTCGATGGTCGAATAAGAATATTCTAGACTTGCCTGTCGTTTACCAAGATTTGACCAAAGTATAAAAAAGTGTAGAAACACGTGAATCAAGAATCCGAGATACAGGGGGGGCTCAACCTCCAGAAGAATCTTCAAACTTTCCTCTTTGATCTCACAACTGAAAAGAAGATATAAACAAAAAAGTAACGGGCACTAAAACTAAGAGATTATACGTGTAGTAAGACCTTTTTCGACAAAATCGTCTCACCTTAGCCTAGACTAAACGTTGCGCTTTTCATGGACGAGACTAACCACACTCTAATTTGGGTCTACCTCAATTTAACAAGTTAAGATCGTCTGTTGGGTCAGACGTTGAACTTAAATCCTGAAAAGTAAGGGGTTGCTCATAGTAGTATGTTTACAAATTAAAGAATTAAGTCGAGCAGCGTTCACTTCTAGCTGCAAACACTTCCCCTACTAGAAGTCTGCAAGATAGGCAGACTTCGTCTGCCGTAGAAAGACTGTGTTGGAAGATCCATACTCTTTAAGACGACTTATCTAAACCAGCAGTCAACTGACTTTCGCTAACTTAACTCACTTAGAGTGGTGCATCTCATGAAAAGTTAGACGTTTGGCCTAGGCCTGAGCAGAGGTACTTCATTGTTAAGAATCAGAATAGAACTTCATTAGCTCATCCATCCATAGATTACCCCAAGTAAGGTAATTGCTTTTAATTTTGTGATTATGTATTTTAATTATTCTTATATATTTTTTTAATTTTCTGGGCCCGCAGTAACTGGCTCACGCTGTTGCGGAATCCCTGCCATTCTTTCTTTGTTATTTTGTTTGATTACCGTCATTATTTCTCTGCTTATGTTGGCGAAACTAATAAAATAAAAAAATAATAATAATAAAAATAAAATAATTTAAAACAGGTTTCAATTCAGTTTCTTGGTGTTGCGAACAGGTGCAACCACCAAACGGCGATTGAAAAGAAACTGAGCCATGCCAACACCACACAACAGAAAAGCGGACCAATAATGGTTTCCACAATTCAAGAATCCTAGTTTCTGGATTCCACGCAGTGGATTCTGGATTGTGGATTCCTTGTAAGTGGAACTTGGATCCCTGATTCTAAACGTTAGCGGGATTTCGGATTCTTTGGGATGAATCCCGGATTTTAAAGCCATACATGGGGCCAGTCAATGACTTCATAGGCGTTTGTTTTAATGGGCGGGAATACAATAAAATATACAGGATAAATATGTTGTACTTCAGAGACGTTCATGATAAGTCGCGGTGTGGCCAGATGAACAGTACCTTATTTTTCTCAGACATCTACAAAGCTGAAATCGACTGATGAGCCAGCGTTCGTGAAACGAAACGAGCATCCTCTGAGACCGAGAGGATTCGAGCAGGGGCAACCAACGAAGGTTTCCTCCTAAATACATTGAAAACACTTTTTAAGCTTTCCAGAGTACTTTTAGATCTCTAGAGATGCATTCCGAGCGGCGCTATAGAATTACGAAAGAGAGAATGTTTCTCATTCCTCTCTCCATCACATTTAGGTTTCCTTTTTTCTTCGAAAAATAGCCTAACCTTGGTAGTAAAATGTGAAAAATTAAACTCCAGAAAATCGTAGGGAATTTGTTACATAAGCTTCGAAAGTTGTACATGAATGGAACGGTCATCTAGAAATTTTTAGCCGCCCTCAAGTAATAGAAAATTCTATACATAGGCAATATTTGCTTCTCCGAAGAGATATTTTACAGAGAACAGTCGTTGGGTGCCCCTGTTCGAGGATGGGAAATGCAACAAGCAAATCAGGGGACCCAAATTTCCTCTCCTTATTCTGACACTCGTCCTTTTAACTGTTTTATACTTAGTTACATGTAAACATTTTTCTTGCCGTCCAAAAAGTGCATAACCCAGTTTCCGGGCCAGGGGCCCGTTTCTCGAAAGTCCCGTTAACTTTTCGGGCCCGAAATCAAATATTCAAATCGAAATAAAAAGAATAAGAGCGCGGGTCCTGGCTAGCAAACTACTGCATTTTGTTTCGTTAACTGATAGTNCCGGGCCAGGGGCCCGTTTCTCGAAAGTCCCGTTAACTTTTCGGGCCCGAAATCAAATATTCAAATCGAAATAAAAAGAATAAGAGCGCGGGTCCTGGCTAGCAAACTACTGCATTTTGTTTCGTTAACTGATAGTTTTATCTTGTTAGATGCAAAACTATTGAAACCTCGATCTTTAATGGAAACCGAGACAGCTTACCGGGCCCGTTAATTATCGGGACTTTCGAGAAACGGGCCGCAGCTCTCTTTGCTTTTATTTGTGGCCAGCCCAGAGCCATCACGTTTAATAACTTCAGAGTTCTTTTGGTCACGCGGTCAAATTTAATAGGCCAAGTGGCACTGGGGATGAGAACTTCATGTTTACAGAGCGACTGGAAGCACTGCGCATGTGCATTAGACCATTACCTACCGAAGTTTCATATCAAGGGGTGCCCCATACTGGTCAAGCAGCGTTTCTACAAACACTGAAAGTATTCCTAACATGATGACAGGGACAAGCAAATGATTCCATTTCTTGTTTAGATTCTGAAGTGGCAATGATCGTGCATTTACTTTCATAAACACGCGTATCAGAAATGCTCCTGTGAGCCCACGTACGAGCAATTTCGCCGAATCCCAACCCATAAATGATGGGTCCTGTACGTCGCCTCTGTGAGGAGCCGTCTGCGCCCAGTAGCCGGCAATAGCTGCTTCTACTAACCAACAGGAGAAGCCAACAGCACCAATGCAGCAAAATTATAAATAAAAGGTAGTGGTCACATGAAATTATTTACAGGGTCTGGAAGGGTATTCCGGGGTTTAACCAAAATACACAATGGGGCCGAGATTCGGGATTAGACTGCTAGGGGAGAAGCGGTATTCGCAAAAGTGTGGGCGGCGGATGCGGATGCGGAAAATGATATTCGGGATAGCGATGAAAAAAGTTGGGAAGCGGGATTCTCCTGTAAAAGGAACGGGAATGTGGGATCTGGACCCCTTTTCCAGACCCGGATCATTATGCGTTTAAGGCTTACCATGCCACGATGTATCAGCCTATCAGTCAGTTCTTTTGGAATTAATCTCATGAATGTGTGTCATGTGTTGTGATCTCAATGGTGCAGAGCTATGAAGAGTGTAACCGTTCACTCTCAGAGAGAATGGTGGAATCTTGAAACTTTAAGGTGGTTTAACTTTTTGACTCTGTGGATGAAATCCTGTTTGGTGTTACCATTCAAATGAGACCTCTTTGGAAATATACTTTTATTGGAAATATACTTTCCCATGGTACTAATTTACAGCAAGGAGCCCAAAAGTGTGACCGCTTTTTACTTATTTACATTTTTTGGTACACTGATTTAATCCAATCAGAAGCCAGCTGGAAACTGTCTTCGACGTCTGATTGGGTAATGTCTGCATGAAAGAATGTGAGTTAATTGAAGGAGGTCACACTTTTGGGTTCCTTGCTATAAGTAGCTTAAAAAAGATCAGGAAACATTGTTGAATTTTGACTCCCATCATAGTAAATAATTGAGTCGTATAACCCCCGGGCGGTTCTTGATTGATTTGAAGACTGCAGAGTTATTAGAGAAAATTCTTTTTTCGAGGGGAGGGGGTCGGCAGTTCACAGATGTATTCTCTGCAAAATAATTTAATAAGAGCCAAAATGGTATAAGCGTTCCTTGTTTGGCTTTGAAGTAAAAGTGCGTCTATAAAGCTCCATCTAATGGTCTCTCTCTGTTAGTCCGTCTTGTTCTTTCAAGGTAATTAGCGAAATATACTCGACTCATATACTCTACGTAAAGACTAAAACGGTTGAAAAATGCCGTTTGAATCAATCAGGTCAAATCCACTTGAAAACATCTTAAACGAATCCAAATCAAAAATAGAGGAACTTACCATGATTTTGACTCCAATTGATTCAGAAATCTCGCCTTCTTCTAAATCATTGCTGTAAAGGACGAAATATGCAGCGAGAACAAATACTGCCGTGTTGACAATTATGGCGAATACTTGGATGAATGCTCCAATGTGAAGGCTTTGAATGAAATATAGTCCACAGAGAACAGGTGCGGTAATACACAAACAACCAAAAAAGAACCCTGCATAAATCCTAAGATGATCCCTAGGAGTCATACAATTAACCACGTCTTCATTTTCTTGGACCTCAGGAAGTTTATCCACATTTGGAATTTCTGCAGAATGCTCCAGAAAAAGGAAACAACATAGCAAACGGTAATCTATTATCAAGCCTTGTAACCAACTACAAAAACATTAAACCATCCATCGAGTTCATCAATAATAGGTCCACTCAGGGCAACATCAAATTCCACATTCACCTGAGCGTCTATCCACTCTATAAAGTTGAAGAAGGACATAATTCTAAAGTAAAATTCAGCATTCCCTTTGAATTCTTGCTTACTAAGACAGGTGGTCCGCAAGTAGAGGTATATGGCAAGCTGAAAAGGCTTTTGAAGGAAGAAAGCTGACTTGTCTATAATAATCAAGATCCAAGTGATTGTTTTCTCGGTTGGATCTACGGGTATCGCATTCTTAGCGCCTTTCGTGCACGCAAATGCCAACAGCACGGCTTCGAGTAGAAATATAAGAAATGTCACCACACCAACAACGCACCCCATTGAAGGCTGTTGTTGACCTAAAGTTTGTCGATTTTCTCGTTCGTCTGGCAGAGAGAAGAAAAGAGAAGCACCAAACAAAGTGTAAGCTATTCCGACAAACATAAAGGCAGATAAACGGAAGTATAGCCTGACCTCTAGGTTGTCGGAGTTGGAGAAGACATTTACAGAAGCGAGCAATGCACCGATGAAGAAAACAAGAAACGTTCGTCGAGAAGAGCACAGTTTGGCACAAGAAGTTGACCAAACACCGAGTACGCTAAGCATGCACAATGCTAAGTAAAACATTCCTGCTCCCAGAGCGATGATCAATTCAGATGCGGTCTTTGTTGAGTTTATATCTTGTGGCGCGGCGGGCAGGTAAGAGACAAACAGGGGCACCCAACGAGAATATAGTTCAAAACCACTTAAACATAGCATTGTTAACCGTATTTTATTATTTAAACGGTAGATATAGGCATATTTTTATCCCCTAAAAATTTTTCATCTGTTCGGATTTCCTAGCTGAAAGTCTAGTTATCCAAAAATTATAGGGATCAAAACTTACCTTTTCGAAAATTCCAGCCAGAAAAAAAAGTCTCCCGAAAATTCTAGGTGACCTTTTTAGGGTAAAAATCCGTTAAAACTGGGCAATTATACCATTTTTTAGATGTTCGAAAATCCTAGGAGAGGCAGGCAGACAGGGCATTTTACAACAAATGTTCCGAAAATTCTTGATCTCAAATCGTCTTCCGAACAGATATTTTCCGAAAATTGTCGTTGGGTGCCCCTGAGACAAAGCTCTCAGAAGCCACATCTTGGCCTTCACCTCTCAAAACGTCCGTTAGATTAACTTTCATGGCCTCAAGATTCTTTTTGAATACTAACTTAGGCTTTCTTGCAGCAACACTGGCAATATAGCTTTAATGACATGACACACTTAAAATGCAATAAGGACTGTGTTCGTCTTTCTTGGAAAACCAACGTCAAACAAATGCAGCATGCAATTACCTATAGATAATAATAATAATAATAATAATAATCCATTTATATAGCGCCTTTTCTACAAGATTCAAAGGCGCTGTTTACAAAAAATTAGATAGAAGTAAAAAGTAAAAATAATCGCAAGAAATTGACATTAAAACTAGACGCTAACTGCAAAATAGATAAATGTACACAATAGATAAAAAAATCAGATAACAAATAAAAACGTCACGATTCATAAGCTCGCATAAAAAGAAATGTTTTAAGTTTGCGTTTAAAATCATCAATTGAGTTTGCAGATTTAATATCCTCAGGTAGGTTATTCCAAAGTTCCGGAGCAGCAACAGAAAAAGCTCGTTTACCATACGAATTGAGATTAAAATAGGGTTTAACTAATAAATTTCTGTTAGAGGATCTAAGATTGCGGCTGGGTGTATACAACTGAAGGAGTTCCTGTATATGGATTGGAGCTCGATCATGTAGTACTTTGTAAGTAATTAACATAATTTTAAATTCAATGCGAAAGGAGACAGGGAGCCAGTGAAGATCCATCAGGACTGGAGTAATATGGCAAAATCTTGGACACTGGTTGACAAGGCGAGCAGCAGAATTTTGAACATGTTGAAGCTTCCGAATAAGATAGGATGGTAGGCCGTACAATAAAGAATTACGCACGCATCCAGTTTAGAAACTACGAAGGCATGAATAATGATCTATGCAGCATCATAAGTAAGATATTTGCGTATGAAACCAATGTTACGAAGATGGAAAAAGGACGATTGACAGACTGCATTGACATGAGGTACCATACAAAGGGACTGATCAAAGATAACTCCAATATTGCGTGCACTGGGGGAGCAGGATACAGTCTCATTACATATATCAACAGAAGATAGTGGTGGCCGAGGTCGATAGGCTTGTTGGAAAGCATCCATGCGTCCATGTCCCGAACACAGGTTACCAATTTGGCGTTACTCAGATTCATATCAGAAACAGACGACGTCCTGAACGTAATATATAGCTGAGTGTCATCAGCATAAAAGTGATAGAACATTTGATGACGTCGAGCAATCTCGCCAAGAGGGGATGTGTACATTGAATATAACAACGGGCCAAGAACGGATCCCTGCGGTACACCAAACTCAAGAACATGAGAAGCAGGGCACGCACCATTAACCTGCAAAAACTGTGTACGATCAGAAAGATATGATCGAAACCATTCCAATACAGTTCCAGTAATTCCAAAGCGATTGGACAGTCGCGAAAGGAGGATACCATGATCAACAGTATCAAATGCAGCCGAAAGATCGAGAAGCACTAGAATAACTGAATTATGTTGATCTATTGCCATGGCTATGTCATTGTGGACTCTAATAAGAGCTGTCTCTGTACTATGGTTTCTCTTATAGGCCGATTGATATGTTTCACCAAGGTCATTAATATCTAAGTATTGAATCAGCTGTTTAGCAACACATTTTTCAATAGTTTTGGATATGAAACGAAGATTAGAAATAGGCCTATAGTTCTTGAAGTCGTTCGAATCCAGAGAGGGCTTTTTGAGCAATGGCTTAAGTATAGCTTGTTTAAGTATTCCAGGCATCCGACCAGTTTCCAAGGAAAGGTTGACAATCTTGTGTATTACTGGGAGAATAGAAGGCAACAGACATTTAAGTACATGACCAGGAACAGGATCTAAATCAGAGGACTTAGGGGTAGTTGAGCCGATGATACTCAAGAGTTCATCCGGTGGAACAGTCGAAAACATGTTCAGATGGATTTCCTGCTGTAGTCACTTGCCGAACATGCACGATACCAGAAATTGAACGGTTCAATTGTCGACCGTTAAGTAATTAATGCACCAATGACCCTCGGAAGTCTTCCAAGTTGGAGTATTAGCTTTGTCCTTTTTCTTGGAAACAAAGCACAATTTTCCCCAATGCTGTACTTGTAGATCCGAGAATCTGACCCACAATTCTTCTTATAGGTGGTCCCTCGAGTATTTCCAGGCTTATGACCAGAAATGGCACCAGACATTAGAATCGGTGCTCTTAACTTCCTTATACGCGAATTTTGCCGGCGGCAATGTTTACATTTTTCGCGTCGACGTATATGGCTATATGGAAATTAAGCCGGTCCAAAGTTTAATGAGGTGCAAGGTTACTTGGGCAATTTGTGTTATTTTATACTCTTTGCAAGAAATATCTAATGAAATACTGCCGCCATCAAAACTGCAAAATTCACTCTGAGTGACAAAAAGAGTCATGAGCAATACATTCTTTGAGGAATTTTCTGGTTTTTTTTTGTTGAAAAGCCTTTGATCTTCTCAACAAGATGAGATATATTTTATGTGTGGTGGTGCTGCTGGAGGCCTGTGACGTCACCAACAATGTTGGCCATCTTGGATTATACCAAGAATTAGAAATCAGGTTAAAATCGAGATAAATGGTAATTTTTGGTGCTTGACACGTAAAATAGGACATGAATAAGCACTTTGCATCATTTCATACAAGTTTTACTTTTATTGTTGCAAAAAAGCTGAAAAAAAACTTTCACTCAAAAATGGCTTGACCACCTACTACTTATTACGTCATATGTCGTAAGCATAGCAACTGACCACTAAACTTGTCTCGAAATGCGCGCGAGGGATAAATGAACAGCTACTGTAAACGTCAGGTGCTGATATTCTATCGCCTGGGGAAAAAACTAAAAAGAAAACAGAAAGGGGGGTGGGGATGATCATCTTCGAAATCCTAGAGAACTGATGCGAGGGGGGAAACCCTAATGCATTTTCATTTTGTTAATTGGCACGTTAAAAAGGTCGTCGTGCAGAGGATTTTCAAGTACAGACGGAACGGACAGGTGGACGTCGTGCAGACTGTAAATTTCCCATTTCTGCGCGGCCCTCGACAACATCACATTCAATAATCGGTCACTAAAATAATAGTCCGCGATTCCCTGTAATTAACTCTTGCATTTGCAGCTTTGAAATCAATGGTATTTGCTCAAGTAGTTTAAGGCCTGGGACTAAGGGGTTTAGCTGTGGAAAAGGAATTATTGGCTATAACTTCAGATGATGGCGCTTAATTGACATTTAGCACACATAAAGAATACTGCAATGCTGATCGTACTAAGTGAAAATTAACTTTGCAAGACATTAACACGACACCGAAAGAACTAAAAAAAAAAAACGGGACTGTAGCCATAGACAGCTTGTTTCGCCCTTTTTGGGGCTCGTCAGTATGGCGTAACCACCAAAGAAAGCTCTGATGAAAAATATCCGCGCACTCTGATTTAAAGGGGCTATGTCACCCCACACGCATGCGAAAGCCAATGAAAACAAACTTGAAAAAGTCGGCCCGACTTTTTCAAGTTCTGTCGGAGATTTTGGAAGGCTGTTTTTATCTGTCTAAATCTCAGCCATCGTTCGATAGTTAGCGAAGTTTTGTATTAAGAATCGTTCTATGGTGATCACAGAATAATTTTTTGG